TGCCCCATCCCTGGCAGTGTTCAAGGCCAGGTTGGACACAGGGGCTTGGAGCAACCTGCTCTAGTGGAAGGTGTCCCTGCCTGTGGCAGGGGTTGGGACTGGATGGGCTTTAAGGTCCCTTCCAGCACAAACCAGTCTGGGATTCTAGGATTAACTAATCCACTAATGGTTAAAGGTTGGACCAGATGATCCTCCAGGTCCCTTCCAACCTGGTGTTCTATGATTTGTCTACTTTTAATTCCGCATGTTTTTCAAGAGAGAGCCTAACCCGATACACATCCCCATTGCTACCAGAAGCAGCAACAGAGAATTTGCTCTTGGTTTCAGAGGAGATGCGGCACAGCATGCCCAACCTGGCCAGGACTGGCCTCCGCTCCTTGGAGTCCGTAAGGAGCAGTCGGAGCTTGGAGTCGGACCTGCAGGTGCCAAGCAGTCGAATTCCCAGAACCCAGCAGCGGTCAGCAGGTCGGTGTGAGGTGCTCTCTGTGCACCCCTACGGCTGATTCCCTTCTGTCTGTCTAACCAACCCTAAGGATACCGTAAGAGGCCTCTTATCCTTAATTGTTCTTAAACTACCTTTGCCACCTGGGTTATTCTTCTTTTTGTTGCTCCATTCCTAGGTCTGGCTCCCGGTAAGCTCAGGTATTCCTCCAGTGCTGGGCAGTCTCCTTTGACAGTGCGGCAGCCGATGAAGGCAGGGGCGTGCACAAACTCTCTCCTCACACCCAGGCAGCCAGTGAAAGCCTGCAGTTACACAGGTCCTGTCAGTGGCGTTCGAAAGCCACAGGCGTCTTCACAGCTCCACACAGGCTCTTCCAGCAGCACTTGCACTACCAGAAGCAGTAACATGGTCACTGTGGCAAAAAACTCACCCATCAAAGCCCGCACGTCTGTTGGGGGGATCTCGGTGCCCAAGAACAAGGCAACGCCACCATCCCGGAGGTAAGTGCGAGGCTCCAAACCTCACAGACTTGAACATCTGTCTTTTGGTTCATAGATTAAACCACTTTATTAAGTTATGTTCATCTCCAGTCTTAAAAGCATGACATGGGTATAGAGTTGGGTCAGAACTACTGACTAACTGTAGATGTAGGGTCGTGGCTGGGGAGCCCTTAAAGGAAGAGCAGTACTTAGCTGGGAGATGGATGTTACAGGGGTGCAGTTCCCTTCCGTGAATGTCTTTGGGAACTGACTGGGACATCAGTGAGATGCCCCTTTTTACCACGTCAGCAGTAACCAAACCACTCAGTATTTCACTATTCCATCTATTTAAAGAAATGTGGTTTTCCAAACCAAGCCGATTATCCGGGGAAGTGAAAAGCCACAGGATCAAACTTCTTTCTGTAAGAAATGAACGTTATGGCACATATTTATTTGGTGGGAAGGGGACAAACCCTTCCAAAGGACCAATAAACTCTTCACTGTTCATATAATAATCTTCCCAGATGACCTACTTTGGTGCTTCTTAACTTGGCTACTGGTAAAATAAGGTTGCTGTGTTTTTTTTCTTCTTTAAGTCTTTGGTTAGGAGTCTAAGTGGGCATGGCCAAGGCCTAATGAGTTTTTAAAGGGTTTGGAAAGTAGGACAAATTACGAAGGCTTGTCTGTAGAATGATTCTATATTCTTAGAGTAACTTTATACAACGCAGGAAAGCAGAGCATAGAAAGTGGCTTCAATAACTTACAATCTTTGTTCTTGTTGCATGAATCTGAACTGATTTAGGGGCCACATCTGAATCCAGAAAGATGCAGCAGGGGTTTGGACTTTGCTTTTTTGACATTTAAATCTAGCTTTTACAATTAGCTTCCTAAATACTTAGACTGTGGATACCTGAAGTTTGTAGATAGTCTAAAGCAGCAGCTGTTTAGTTAGAACATATTAAAGCCCTTTAAAGAATAAGGCCTTTAAGACTTACCTGCACGACTGCTCTGTGCACTGGAGCAATGCATATGCTCATCCCATCATCCTGAGGCATCTGCTGTGCTTCTCTGTGTGATAAATTGCCAAAAGCTGGGGTTTTACAGCTCTTTATAGTACAGTTGTAGCATACATTTTTATGATGAGGGGAAATGAGAGTGATTTGGTATCAGACTAACAGGCAGTAGGTGCTTGTTGATTTTTAATGTCCCATTGCAGCCTTCAATTGAAATGTATCTACTTAAAAACTCTAATCTGAATATTAATGTAAAATCAGTGCCTTATTTTGCAGTACACAACAAAACCTGGTTATTTTTCAGGTGGTCAGTCATATTTGCAGGGAAAATATTTCTCTTGGATTCAGTCACAGGAGAAACCTCCAACCATGTTAACAGCAGAGCAGGATGAACATCACTTCATGTCCCTACACTGCCTGGAATTGCTGCTGCTGTGTCTGTTCCCTGGCACGTGAGGCTGCAGCTGTTTGCTCAAGGCAGGCAGATGTTGGCATCAATAGATGTAAAGCCTCAAACAAACATTCCTGGTACTCAGCAGGTTTCTGGGATCTTCCTCCTTGCAGCTCTTTGGTAGTGACCTTTTCCCGTTTGTCTCAACCCAGGTTTCCACAGGCAGCACAGACCACGGAGGATGATTCCTGGAAGGATGGGTGCTACTGACAACCCAACTCCCCCGTGAAGCAGACCCCAGCTGGCTGGGCATGCAATGGAACTCCAGAGACCCATCACATCGCAGACTGATGTATATAGCTCCTCTCCTCTTGCCACAGACTGTCCTCACCATGTCACCTGCCAAGAGCCCGACCTCGCAGCAGTGGAACAGACACCTCCTTTGCTGCGTTTCCACTGCTGTAAACGTTACTGCAACACGAGTCTTCACAGGAAGACTGAAATAGCCTTATCTCCTTTAAACCTCCACCGCAGCCCTCTGGGACCTGCTCTGGAGGGTGCTGGCTTCAGCAGGCTGCTGAGGGTCCGGGGCGCAGCTTGGAGCTGTCGCTGTGTTGTTCCACAGCAGCAGCTCGGGGAGACTAGAACTAGTTATAGAGATGTTAGAAGTGACTTTTTAAACTCAACCTCGTGTTCTCTCAACTCTGTCTGAAACTCAGCTGTTGTTTGGTTTGACTTTTTTTTTTACTTCTGTAGAGAATGTGTTCCTGCTCCTTTTTATTGTTTGTTCTAGAAGACAAAGCAGGTTTTTATAACTGTAGTAACACTTCAAGCTGTTGTGGTCAATGTGTGTCACCATTCACAAGTGAAGGAGCAGTACACAATATTTGTGTGGGTTTGTGAACAGGCAGTTGCAGGGACAGGGGCTGCTATTTAAAACCTGCTGTTCAGCAGCATCTTAACTCGTTTGAAAAGTTAAATGTTAAAAGTGAACTTTTTAACAATTACCCCCCCTGCCTGATCTGACTTGAAGTGTTCCCTCTTCCACCCAGCTCCCAACTGCCCTGGGTTTTGTAGCAGTTTTCTACTGTCTCTTTGGTTATGAAGGATTCTGTTCCAGTGTCCTCTTCCTCAGCAAGTGCTGGATGCTCTGAATACAGTCTTAGTACAGGAAACATGCACTGATAGCAATGTTCTCCCTGCCATCAATGTGATTTTGATAGTGTAGTTTAATAAAATGTTATGGTGCTGAAATAGATCTGCTTCATTCAAACTGAGCCGGACTGTGGACTGGTTTTGTGCTAGGAATGAGCAGCAGCTCCCAGCCTGCAGGCATTGGCTTCTGTACTTCACCTCTAACAGTCTGCATAGGTAAACAGGGCTCAGAGAAAGTCTCATGTCCTACAAGTGCTGATATTTACCTTTAAGCTCCTTAGATTTCATCAGGATGAGGTGGGGGGTAGCAAAGGAAAACTCCATTCACAGCCCTCACTCAGTTCATGGCTTTTCTTGAACATCTACAAGTGGCCCAAGCACAACAAAATAGAGGAACCAACACTTGCAAAGAGGAAGCTTTACAGCAGCTCATTCTCAGAGCACAAACCCCTCTTTGCCACATGAGTGTGTCACAGACAACCCTCTTTACACAAATAGGTTTTTCTCTACCCCCTCATGAGGCTTTGCAGGTTTACAGCACTGCCCTGTTCAGGCTGTTCCTTTATGGAAAAGGTTCTTTTCCAGAACCTGGCCTGGTGGTAAAGCTGGAACCTGGGTCATATAGAACTTATTTACCTTCCCCCTGTACAGAACAAAGACAGAGCAGCAGATCTCAGAGGTTGCATCTATAGAGTTCTCTTCTGTCCTACCTTTGGGCTACAGCCCCCAGTAAAGAGCACGCCAGCATTTTCCTGCAGGCTCCTGAGTCGAGACAGCTCCTGCTATTTAACGGCCACTGAAGATCTGTTTAAGGCTAGATAAAGAACAAAATTTTTCTGGAAGAGTGCAGTGTTTAATTTCAGGTTATCTCCCAGCTGAAGTGCGTCAGGCTGTGACACTGCTGCTGTGAAGAACCAAGGAACTGATGTCTACAGCAATACAGACTCTCTTACACATTTCTAGACAGACCAGGGGCTTAAGAGAAGCGGCAAAGAGGTGACCAGGGCCTCATTCTGCCTGAATTCATGGGCACTTAAAAGGCAAATCCCATATGCCCAGCACCCGAAGGGCTGTCCCACTTCAGGATGGGGCCATCGCCACATATGAGATGATACATTAAGCACAAACCCAAACCCTATAAGAGATTAAAGTCTCATTAGGGCAATGGTTAAGGTGTATCCTTCCATTTTTCTAAGCTGTTCTCACACCAAGTGAGTTCCTTCAGGTATTTATATTGTGTCCTCCCCAGCCTCAGCCTGGGGCACTCACACATGCCCCAAGTTCACAACATGGAGAAGTGGCTTCTTTCCACCACCAGACATCAGCCCGTGTCAGGTGAGGATGGGCTCAGGCACCTGCACCAACACAGGTCAGAATCCCTCCAGCACAGGGAGGTTTTCAAGGCCATCACAAAACCACTTCACAGCCAGACCTGCTCGTGTGACCTCGCCAGGCAGCCCCACGGGCGACTCCAGGCTGGAACTGCAGGTGACGCACCCCCCGTTACTCACTGGTTACACAGAGTAGTCCCTACGCTCAGTGCTACACCCGCCTTTCACAAAACTAAGGCAATCTGCTTTCTGTACAGGAATTTTATTTAAACCAAGTTACCTTTGATTTTACACTAATGCCTCGGTGCATCCTTTAAAAGGAAAGGAAGGATTTGCTTTAAAAAGTATTTGTACAGAAGACAACAGATCATAGAAATGAACATGGGAACATCAACAACCCCTGGAACATGCAGAGCCCACGCTGAGCTGCGGGGAGCGGCAGGAAGAAGGAAACCTTTCTCTAAGCTTCACATTTGACTCAGTTACAGGAACAGACCCCAGCGCTGAGCAGAACCACTGGCGCTTCCTGGGCAGAGAGACCTAATAACCTCAGTTAGGTTTCAGCCTCATTCATAGAAGATAAATCCCATGTTACATGTACAAGCCAACAGGAGAACTCTCCTGGAGAGCTCCCCAGTCAGTGTGACAAGCCTCAAGGCAGCAGTTCCTCCTCCTCATCACCCTGCCTGTGGCCAGCCCATGTTGCAGGGCACCAGGAAATCACGGCACCAGCCCAGGGCTCAAGCTTCATCACCAAATTGAGCTTTCCCTTCCCCACCTCGACAGCTTCCTCCCACCACGAGAAGCCACTTTGCTGGGCTAGAAAGATGAGCTTCTTTCACCACCCATCTGATGCTTCTATGAGCTTTCAGGTCTGCTCCTTCCCCTGTGAGATCCAAACCCTCAGCCCCTGCAGCCTTAGCCCAGGCAACAGCAGCTTTGGTCAGCTGGGCCGGGCCCCATGACTTGAAGGGCTGGCTGGGACAGAAATGCAATGCTCAGAGCTGCCAACATCTGGCAGAGCAGCCCCTGGCCCCTGACAGCAGCACTGTACCTGGCCTGACATTTGGTTATTAGCCTTGGGTTTGGGTTTATTTTCTTGTCAGAAGAATACACGTTACTACATCCTCTGACAGAGCTTTTCTTCCCCAGCCCGTAGAGAAAGTCACTATCCATCAACTCCAACCTTCTACCCTTGTCTGTCCTCACATTGCTCACCTGCAGAGCAGAGGCACAAGCAGCAGATACCTGGCACCTCATCGATCAGATCAACAGATTGGCCCCCAATTTCACCTCAGTGAGGGATGTTAGTACACATTTTAGTCCACCCTCAAAAGAACAACAGGAGAAACAACATGTGAGAAAGCAGATACATTACTGCAACCTTAACTATATGCAACCGCCTCCTTTACTGTATCGGTTTAGCACACATTAAGAGGGGGGAGATGAGGAAGAAGTGAGGATGAAGAGGATGAAGAGGCAGCCATTGCCATTTGGAAACGTTGAGGTGACCCAACACCCTCTTCTACCACCTGCACAAAGACCTCCAGGAAAAGGGAGGCTCCACAACGCAGCAGCACCCGCATCCAAAGCACTCGTTACTCCCACCATCACCCTCCCAACCTCCACGTGCTAGAACACTCCATAACCACATGAGGCCAGATGTGCAGGGAGAGGCACCTGGACCTCTGATACTTGTAGGAGGTGGGAATTCACACCTCCCCTCACCTTGTCCCTGCCCCATCAGGCGAGTTCAAACCCCCCCCAGCCCCATCTCGCAGCCGGATGGTTGCCGGCAGTCCTGGTCTCCGCTTGCACGCTCACATGAAAGTGCAAAGCTACACGGACACGGGGCGAGCATGCACAAACCCCCCGGAGCTGGACACGGCACCCACCCAGCTGGGGAGGTTGGAGTTGGGACAGGAAAAGAAACAAATAATAATAATAATCCCTTCAAGTAATTTAAGCCAGCCCATGCTTGAGGTTAACGCTGCACTGAAGCAGTGACCGGCTGGGCCTGTTTGGGGTGATAAGGCAAAAAAGTCTGAAGTCCTGGAGGGATGGAAGGATGAGGAGGTGTCAGTAGTGAAAGACTCAGAGTTATCCTGTAGGTTGCTTCTCCACACTCCTGTGATTCTCATCTCCAAGTGACCAGCACCAGCAGCCTCCGGTTACTTCTGCACGCAGCTCGGCCAGGCAAGGCCCCCACAGACAGCAGAGAGGATGATGTAGATGATGACCTGGGGAGAGAAAACAGCCACTTCAGACAAGAACTACACCTCCACAGCCACAGCCCAGTGCTGCTATGGCCCAGCACCCAACACACACGCTTGGAAAGCCCATGTCAGCAGACACCACCATCACCACATGGGTTTTACAGCTGAGACTCTGCCAGGCGCAGAGCTGAGAACACAGCAACGTGCTGGGGGTATGTTCCAGTAGCTGAACCTGACTTCAGAGCTAAAGGTTATTGTGCTCCATACTTACAATTGATACTATGATGATGACGATGGTAAGCTTGAGGTTCTTCATACACATGGCTCTAGCAAGGTTCCTGCTGGTAGTTTTGAAAGTGACTGACTACAAAAGAAAGTAAAACAGCTCATTCATTCCTGAAGTTGCATCCCAAGAACCACACACTTTTCCCAGCTACTGCCTCCCCAGTAACCCAAAGCAGTCTTTCTCCACCAGAGATCCCTAGGGGAGAGAAAAAAAAGCTTCCAAAGCACACAACACTTTACTAGATAATATCATGCTCTATAAGTACATTAAATTGGGGGGGAG